TTATATATATATATAAGAAAGCTCCCACTTTATCATCCGACATTACTCCTATACAGCACCTTATCTGATTGCCTTCCAACCACCTAAAGGTTGGTCCCTCACAGGTACCGCAGACCTTCCACACATAGTCAAAGCCATCTTCAATATGCTTCTTGGCAGATCAGTGACGGACAATATTGAACTGGATCGAGTCGACTCCTGCACATGTGCCGTGCTGAAATTTTAGAGGTGCTTTAAACCCTTGACCAGATGGCAGGTCCTAATAGGGGACAATCTCTGGCCTCCCTGGCGCTCTGATACCTGAGCCGCATCTCTCTCCACCAGTGGCGGAACTAATAACCAAACTAATCTCTGGCCTCCCTGGCGCTCTGATACCTGAGCTGCATCTCTCTCCACCAGTGCAAGATTTTATCTTGGGCCCCCCTCACAAGATGGGGGGGCGCGGGAGCGGATCACACTGGCCCCTGCATTAGAGATGCTGTGGGGGTGCCCAGGACCGGACCCCACTGGGCCCCCTACAGCCTCAAGCCCCGGCACCGCCTGCACCGGCGGTAGTTCCGCCACCTCTCTCCACCTTCCTCCCCGGAATCTGCCCTTAGCTGCGACAGTTCTGATTTTATGCACCCGTCACAGCCATCTGCTTCAACATGGTGGCCCGACCAGCTGGGTGAAGCAGACACCTCACGGATGGAAATTTGTGAACTCTTACATGCCTTACCTAGTGAGATGGACCTTGGAGACCCTCGATGCCAGGGTCGAAGAAAACCAAGCAAGTGGAGCAAGCTGTTCAAGCTGAATCCACCTCAATCTCTGAATTGCGCCTCCATCTGGAGGATCTAGAAGACCGTGGCCACCACAATCACCTCCGCCTCAGGGGACTGCCTGAAGCAATAGGCCCGGAGGAGTTACAAGTGACGACTGTGGAGATCTTTAGTCTGCTGCTGGGTGCCTCCTCAGACACAGTGATCAAGATCGACTAGGCTCACAGAGCTCTAGGCCCGCACTCTACCGACACAGCAAGGCTCCTCGATGTAATATGGTGGCTCCTTCGCTACTGTATTAAGGAGGAAATCCTGCAGAAGGCCTGGTGGAGTTCGATGGGGCCAGTGTTCCGGATCTTGCCAGGCTTTTCAAGGGCTACTCTGCAGGGTGCTGCTTCGGCCTCTCCTTGATGGCCTTCGAGCCGCCGGCTTATCCTACAGCTGGGGCTTTTCATTTCACCTTATTGTCAACAAAGACTCGGCTTCCTTTCTTCTTTGCAGTCCGGTGGATCTACCAGCTGTATTTGATTTTTTTTTTAGAGTATTAATTTTTTTTTCAAGTCCTGGTATGGCTTTGCCTTAATCTGGATCGCCTCCCCCACCACCGACCAAACTCTCGTGGTTCTGGACGACTACAGACTTGCTCCGGCCCCCCTCCATGTCGAGCGCTTCCTCTATGCGGCCTGGAATAATAACTCTTTCCGGTGATCTGCTAGAGTTCCTCCTTATCCTGGTGTGGACCCCCATGGATCTTCCTAGCGACTCCCTTGCCTTGTATGTTCCTACCTGCCTCAAGACTCCCCCATTTTTTTGCCTGCTGGGGTGGACTCTTTGTTGCCCTGGGGGGATGTCAGCAGCAGGTACTCTGGACTGATTAGTCTAAATTCTAAATATTTGGCTGTAGCAAGAGGCAGTTTGTTCACAGAAGGGCTGGAGAGCGGTACTATGAGTGTCTGCAGGCAAAAGTGAAGCTTGGTGGAGGTTCCTTGCAAGTCTGGGGCTGCATTTCTGCCAATGGAGTTGGAGATTTGGTCAGGATCAATGATGTCCTAAATGCTGAGAAATACAAGCAGATATTTATCCATCATGCCATCAGGGAGGTGTGCAATGACCCCAGACATACAGCCAATGTCATTTTGAAACTATCTTCAGCGTAAAGAAGAACAAGGAGTCCTGGAAGTGATGATTTGGCCCCCACAGAACCCCATCATCGAGTCTGGCTGGGATTATATGAAGAGACAGAAGGATTTCAGGCAGCCTACATCCACAGAAGATCTGTGGTTAGTTCTCCAAGATGTTTGGAACAACCTACCTGCCGAGTGCCTTCAAAAAACTGTGTGCAGTTGTACCTAGAAGAATCTGTTAACAGAAGCTGTTTTGAAGGCAAAAATGTGGTCACACCAATTATTAATTTGATTAGGATTTCTCATCTGTTTGTTTACTTTCCATTTTGTTAATAAATAAAAATAAACTATTAACACTTTTATTTCTGAAAGCCTTCTTAATTTACAGCATTTTTCACACATGCCTAAAATTTTTGCACACTACTGTATATTTTGTTCAAGAAACTAATTTTAGATCTGACTAGAGCCCAAAGTTCCACAATAGATACTATCCTCACGATTACCATTGTGCCCCCCTTGATTAGACCAAGGGTGTGAGTATTTTACTTCATAGAAGTTTCAGTTGGTGCTTGTTGAACACTCGGCAATGTCTGGAGGGGCCAGGCCCTATTCGATAAGGGTAATCTGGAAAACCAACTTTGTACCTTTGCAAACTTGTACCTCCTTAATTCTAACCAAATTTCATTCTTGGAGGACACGCTAGACGGCCTGCACTCCTTTATGAAGGGAGTTTTGGTTGTTGGGGGAGATTTTAATCTTGTGCTGGATCCTCTTCTTGATTCCCCCAAGTCGTACTGCGTATTCATAAATGCCTTTGTCTCCATCAGCTGGTCGACATCTGGCGCATACTCCATCCTATGAACAGGGATTACACGTTCTTCTCTAATTCACATCAATTGTGTACCAGGATTGACATGTTCTTGGTCCATCATTGTGACTTGACCCAGGTACGCAATGCCTTTATTGGTTCAATCTCACTTTCTGACCAGGCACCAGTTTCCTTGGCAATGGACCTCTCACTAGCGCCTCCACCCTCATGGTCATGGAAACTGAATGAATCTCTCTTGCAGGATGACTCTATTCTGGAGAGCATCCGTTCGGAACTTACACACTATTTCTATCAACTTGCAGCTGGACTGTGATCCCATGATCCTTTGGGAAGCCCATAAGGCTAAAATTTGTGGAATCTCAATAAAGGCATGATACCAGGCTCAAGCGGTCCATCATTGTGACTTGACCCAGGTACGTAATGCCTTTTATTGGTTGCATCTCACTTTCTGACCAGGCACCAGTTTCTTTGGCAATGGACCTCTCACTAGCACCTCCACCCCCATGGTCATGGAAACTGAATTAATCTCTCTTGCAGGATGACTCTATTCTGGAGAGCATCCGTTCGGAACTTACACACTATTTCTGTCAATTTGCAGCTGGACTGTGATCCCATGATCCTTTGGGAAGCCTATAAGGCTTACATTTGTGGAATCTTAATAAAGGCATGATACCAGACTCAAGCGGACCAGGTTGGCGCAGATTGATAAACTCTTTCATGACATTCATGCCCTTGAGGCAACCCATAAGCGCACCTTGGCATCCTCGACTTTGGGTGAGCTTACTATCCTGTGATATCGCCTAAAGTCTTTGTCTGTTTAAACAAGCCTTAACCAAATGTAAACAGATATTCTATGAACGAGGGGATAAATGTGGGAAGCTCCTGGCCAGGCCACTTAGGGCTAAGAGAGAACATTCTCTTAAACCCAAAATGTTAACTCCGCAAGATTCTAGGGTTTATAAAACAGTGGACATAGCCAACATTTTTTTACTCTACTACTCCTCCTTGTACAACCTCGACTCTGACTACCGGGAACCTCGAGATTCTACTTTTTGTCGATGCTATGGAGTCTTACCTGACTGATTCGGGAAAGCCCAGCCATTTTGGAAGAAGTTGTCTGTTCTCTTGTTTAGCCACTTACTCAGTGGAAATTGACACAGGCTATGGTTCACACGAGTACTGGGAAAGCATCTGGCCCTGACAGGTTCATGCTTACCTATTATAAGAGGTTTCAGGATATTTTCTCACCCTATTTTATGTGTGCCTTCAACGGGATAGGTAACGGAGGATCATTTCCTTTAGACTCTCTTGGAGCCCACATTACAGTGATCCCGCTTCAATGTCCCAATTACAGGCCCATTTCTGATTAATATGGGCTTGAAACTCCTCGCTAAAATTCTCATGACTAGGCCTGGTCCAGGCCATTGTTCATTCGGATCAGATATGTTTCGTCCCCACCAAGAAGGCACGAATAATAGGACCAGGGACGTGACCTATACGTTGAAGTCCACAGCTACTCCACTAATACTTTTATCAACGG